AATTTAGGAAACTAAACCCTCTAATTTAGTTAATATCTCACCCATGGAAGGTGTCATTTTATTCAGCACCCTGTACTATCTGAAACAAACACTACAGAGCCCAGGAATGAAATAATGGTTTGAATGTCTGAACCACATACACAGAACACATAACCCATGCCCTGCACTGAGAACCTGACAGCAGAATCAACATGCTAACTTTAGAGTAGTTCTAAAACAATTTCACCTTGGCTTTTCCATCCATGAAATAGACATTAATGTAAGAAAAATAAAGCTGAAGTAGAATGGAACAGAAAGGAATGAGAGGACTGAGTCTGGAGGAACCTATAACAAAAAAAGCAGGCATAAGGCAATATCCACACCAGCAAGAAGAGAAGAACTTGAGGTAGCTAAATCCTTAAGAAACAGACTATAAACTGAGGTTGTGGGGAGGGCAAGGAAGAGGAGGGGGGTGAATAGGAAGTGGGGACAGGGAAGTATGAAACCCCAGTTACAAAAAAAAAAAAAAAAAATTAAGTCCTAGGATAAAAAGCACAGCACAGGGAATATGGGTCGATAACACTGTAGTAACGGAAAGTAGAAGAAATTTCTACACTTCGTGGGTGAGCACTGTGAGCACGTATAGAACGTCAAGTCCAATTGAATATATTTAGCGTCCGAATATAGAATAGTGTAAGTGTTAGTTGTAGTTCAACTTAAAAAAAAAAAAAGTGCAAAAAAAAAAAGGTAAAACTCAGATAGAGATAAGAAATTAAAACGTAAACTATTACACCTTCAAAGCCCTGAGTTAGTATTTACATTAATCAGTTATTACCTCTGGTAAGGATGCAAAGGTTTCTCTCTTGATGTAAGAAAAAACCAATCCAAAAAAAACCCAAGTTTCATTTCTAAAGAAGTGTGCTTTATATAATAATAATTTCATTTTTATTCAAGACTAAGGGACAACTGCTCAGTCTACTTTTCAATAAATTTCACTAAGAAAATACATCTTGGTGATTAATGTTGTTAGCGTTACATAGAACTCATGGACTCTAATTCAGAATTCAGTATTCTAAATAGTTTTACAGAATTTACAATAATTCTGCAACACCATCATTCTGAGCTACACATACACACAGTGTGAATTCCACAACTCTCATGAAGCAAGAGAAAGACCTTTATCAAATTAATGCGATCAGTGCACACTGCACTTAACTGAATTCAACTGCTCTTCTCATTGGAATTGATAGGTTGCAAACAACCTAATACCACAATATATACCGAAAGTTAGCAACTATACATATATTTTGGCCCTGAATGAGTGATACACATAATAGTCAACATCAATCATTTCCACCTACTAAACACATACATACATATTAATATACCAAGGCACATATACTCTACCACCATTTGGTTTGAAAATAGTAATGAATATTTCCAACATACTCACTTCAAATATTTAGGAAGCAGAGATGTGTGTATGCTGATAAGGTGGAAACTTCCACCTACTTTAAGTCTTCTACATCTGGAAAATATGAGATTCACTGCAATTTTAGGTAACAACTAAATCTAGTGCAAGAGAATGGAATGACGCTGGTAATTATGACCAGCCCATCAGATTTTGAAATTATGTTTATTCATGCTGTTTACATTGCTGCCCATATTGTTTAAGAAGATAAGAAAAATAGAAAAGCTTTCATATAAAACAAAAAAAGCTCCACGCCAAAGATCCCAAAAAGCTTAATACTTCTGGTATTTAAAAATTGATTTATGTGGGAAAAAATACTACTCAAATGGTACACATAATGGTTTCATTTTTAATAGTGGTTTCTCATCTTTGATGTTTTTTAAAATCTTTGTCCAGGAGCATATCCAAAGACATCAGCAGTCATTAATATATATAAACTTTTCTTAGGCTCACAGCAAATAAATCTTAAGGGTGCATAAAAATCATATTTTACTATATAGAGGGCATCTTATGGGGAGTTTATCATTCCGTAATCAAATTAAAAAAAAATTTGTAATATCTTTGTTATTAGATTTATACTACATAATAACTAATGAATAAATTTAATCTAATTAAAAAATTAAATCTTTTCTATTCTCTTTTCTCCTGTGATACTAATTTGTAAAAGAAAGTTTACTTCATGATGGAGAGATTACCAAAAATGCAAATATACATTTGTTTTATTAGAACTACTCATCTGAAGGCACACAGCCAGGATTTTTGTGGAATGTTTTTTAAAAAGCTCAGTATCAGAAATGGTGGTTTAGCTTCATTGAGTGTCTGACTTGCCTCAGGTCATGATAACAGGGCTGGGAGGAGCCCCACATCTTAGCTTCAATGGGACATTCTCTTCCTCTCCCTCTCTGCTCCCTCCTTCCCAGCTTCTCTTCTCTCTTAAAAAAAAAAAAAAAAAAGTCTCTGGGGTGAATTGGGTGGCTCAGTCGGTTGAGTGCATCTGACTTCACATCTTTGGAATGTGTGTGTGAGGCGGTAGAGTTCAAGCCTGCATCGGGTTCACAGTGCTGGATACAGCTCAGAGCCTGGTTTGCCTCCTGGGATTCTTGTGTCTCCCCTCCTCTCTGCCCCTCCCCCCCACCATCATCCCTCTTGCCCTGGTTCTGTCTCTCTCTCTCTCTCTCTCTGTCAAAATAAAATAAACATTAAAAAAAAAATGAATGTCACTACTGGTATAACCTGAGCCCCATCTTCTCTTTTCTTCCCATTTCCCCACCTTTAATTTCTCTGTACCTCTTTATTCACTTCCTCTCCTCTTATACTTCATTCTGTTTACTCCCTGAAAAGAAAGAACAAGTTTTCCCAGAGAGGTAACTGTTTTAATGCGGATGGAGTCTAGGACTGTCCCTACAACTATTCCTTGCTGCTTGAGCAGGACTTCTCCAGAATTATCCCCATGAACTACCAATGTTGAATTTACACCTCTCTTTAAGTAAGCTCTTCCACAATTCTATGTCATACACACACACACACACACACACACACAATACTGTAAATTAAAAGAAACTGATAAAGAGTTGGACAAGGCAACAGAAGTTCTTTTAATGTTTGGTGGCGAGAGTCGTTGTTGCCTGACTTCAGCCAGGCTGTTTGATCTCATGGTTCTGGGGTGCTCCAGCCCCATGGCTGGGTTTCAATACATCTTTATTTTGAGCCTGGAGCCTGTTTCCCATTCTCTGTATCTCCCCTCTCTCTCACCGCTTCATGCTCTATTCCTCTCTGTCCTAAAAATAAAATAAAAACGTTGAAAAAAAAAAAATTTAAAAAAAAAAAAAAAACTATAAAGTTCTTTTAGGGTATATAACATAGTTTTGTTTATATAATTTTTCGGTAAGATGGATTTTACAAAGAAAAGCAACTCTGAAAATCCATACCAAGAAAATAGTGTCAACACTACCACAGTAGGGTTCTGTCCTTCATTTATTCTTTCACAGGTTATTCTAGACCCTGTGGCAAAACATTTAAACAATTTTTAGCATTCAGCTGACTGCCATGACACATATACTCCACAACTACACTACAAACTTGTGATTACAATTCTTTGTAACCCTCCATTATGGAAAGCATAGTGGGCTCTTAATAAGTGTTTCTTAGGGCACCTGGGTGGCACAGTCGGTTAAGCGTCCGACTTCAGCCAGGTCACGATCTCGCGGTCCGTGAGTTCGAGCCCCGTGTCGGGCTCTGGGCTGATGGCTCAGAGCCTGGAGCCTGTTTCCGATTCTGTGTCTCCCTCTCTCTCTGCCCCTCCCCCGTTCATGCTCTGTCTCTCTCTGTCCCAAAAATAAATAAACGTTGAAAAAAAAAAAATTTAATAAGTGTTTCTTTACTACAGGAGCAGAGCCATCCTTATGACCAGATTTAATATTTATGCTGTCAAAGAAATAGCTAAGAAAAATTATCAAGGAGCTCATTAAAATAATTGTAGTAAGATTTTCATCCTATACCACACTTACTATTTAGACAGAACACAGATTGTTTCAATCATTTCTGCCATATAGACTACCATAGCAACTTGAACATACACACACACACACACACACACACACACGTAATAAATCCTGGAGTTCAAAAAAACAAACTAAGGAATAAGCTTAAGCTCACAGCTAAGAATAATGATCAAACACGCAGGCATGCTGAAAACATTTCAGAAAACAGGCAACACTGGAAGCTTTTCAAAGATAAATCCTGAGAGCACAATATAGCAATTTCTATTTTCTATACCACTTCTAATAGCATCATACTTCAGCTTTAAACCACAGAATAGGTGGGGTCACTAACTATTTAAAACTAAAAAATATTTAAAATCACAGAACTTCTAACCAGTTACAAGACTTATCAGTAGCAATTCTCAACATCTACCTATAAGGACAATAGTCTGATACCTAACTTTTTCCTGGGGAAGAGTATTATTCTAGGTTTCATGATCTTAAATCTTATCAATATACCAAACATTAAAACTAAGAATTTTTAAAAGAGGAATTAAATACAAACAAATTTAGCCAAAGCCAAAATACCAACTGTAGAACTGTCTTAACTCTAAAAGACTTAAGGCTCTAACAAGAAAACATATTTCTTTTGGACAAATACCCCATCCTTTCTGCCTTTATTACTCAAAGTTCCTCTTTGCTCATAATTGGTATAATGGAAGAAAATATACTTACTAAAGAAGTATCTCTTTTTGGTCTTCTAACAGACCAGAACCCACTACTAATCAAAATCAAAATCAAAACCAAACCAAAACAAAACAAAATGGTAAAAAAGCTTTTCAATCTCCAACCAGTAGCTCTCATTCATCTCAAGGATTATATATCAATATCCTAAGAAAACAAAGGATTTTGGACAACTCCTTGGGAGTACATTATAAGTGACTAATCCCCTATAAACCAAGTCAGGTGAGCAGGAAAAATAGAGACAAGAAATGTGCCATTCTTCATCAGAAATGCAAAAATTCTAGTAGTTTGTCTATACTACCTTCCTTCTGCCTTGACAAACTTACCATAGCCATCATGTCTAAACGAAGAAGGGTGTTCTCCCAAAATGGCTTGTCTCTGGCGACCCTTTCCTCTATCTGACACAAAAGTAGAAACATGGTTTTAACAATTTTGACCCAAGTACTTAACAGTTCTCACATGGGAAACACCCATTCAAAACATCCATTACAATTCATAAAAGAAATAGGATTCCTGGTTAACTTTAAACATCCATTCATATCCAATTTAAATACAAACACCAAAAGTTTAAGGAAGTAATTCTATCTAACAAATTCCACTTAACTTGAAAATATCTTTTTGGCAAGTGCCAAATACAATCACACTTTCAAATTTAAGGAAAGAATGGATACTTTTCGGAAAGTGAACATACACAATGCTAGAGTTTGACACTGTACAGAAGTTTTTACCAATACATGTCTTTAAAACAAGCTTTAAGTGCAGTACTTTTGAAAGACAGTACCTGAATCATACTATTAGCTTCAACAGCAACACATTTTCAAAGTGGGCTTCTTTCAAGAAGTTCAGCATAAGCCAACAACAACCTGTATTACACGGTTTCACAATCAGTAAACACAGAGTATTTTGTATGTATATACACATATTTACAAACACCTACTGACTTGAGAGCTGGAAATTTGCACATCACTGGCCCATATTATAGCATGGATTGGTCATTGTCTATAGACCTTAACACCAGGCAGGACTATGAGCACCCTCCAAAGTTTAAATACGCCAAGATAAAGCTAACCAAGGGGGCTACATTATTGGATGAGAGTACTACAATACTCCTAAAAGATAATTTTTATTCTAGCTATGTTTTCAGGAAAGGCATGCCAATTTTCCTAAATCTAGAATGAGAGATCAATAATAAAATTACTTACAAGTTTCTAAAATAGCACTTCCTATGTTGGTTGGTAAATTTTAGAAATTATTGTACAATGCTTTTTAGAAAGTTTGCTGATCAAATCATAGCACCCAATAAGATTTTTTTTTTTTAATGTATCTTAAGAGTCTGGTAATTCTAATCTTTGAAAATTTAGAGAGAGGCCTTCTATAAATCCTTAGTCACCTAAACAAATGACGTTTATGGGAGATGAGAAATAATTTTCACTTCAGCCTAGAGAAGTACAATTTTAAGTACCTATTTGAAGTTATCATAGCATTAAAAGGGACCTAAGAGATCATCTTGTTCCATTTATTTTGTATAAATTCTCTTTACATTATCCCTATCAGTTGGAATCATCTAGCCTCTGCTTACCCAACACCAATTAACAAGGTTCTCATGACTTTCCCTTACATTTTCAGTTAGTCCTAAATAATGAGAAAATTAATGTTTATATTGTATAGAAATTGGTCCTCTACCCATATTCTATCCCGTCTGAGGCCTCGTAGACTTAGTCTTTCTCCAAAGACCCTTTCAAAAGCTTCCAAGTTATTAAGATCCTTCCTCCATTTCCCCAGTCATTTCTTCTCCAGTCATTCACAGCTCCTTCTTTCCATTATACGGGTTCCAGCATCCAGTATCATCATTTAAGTCTCACTCCTCTTGAATCAATCCAGTCTGCTAATCCCTTCTGTTAATGTTCCTTTACTTAAGTATGCCACCCAACACTACATACAATTCCTCATCTGATCTAAGCAATCTTAAACCAAAACCACCATAATGTCTTCATGACTCAGTTTTATTGATATAGTTAACAGTGTCCTATAAAGGAAAGAGCACTAGAGATTGGGAATCAGAAGATTCCAACTTAAACACTAATTCACTGGATAATTACATAAACTCACAACCTTCATTCATAAAATGAAGGAGTTAAGAGTAGATAATCTCCTAAGGTATCTTTCAGCCGAATATTGTCATTATTAATAGTTCTTTGGATTTGAAGCATTAAGTACCTAATATAAGGTCACATAAAACAGAAGTGTGCAGAAGAGTCAAACACTAATTACATCAGTCTATAAATAGTAGTTTGAAACTTTTCATGAATTCATCTGAAATCTGATGGAATCTGTGTACATTCTCCCCAAAAAGATGTACACATAGACAAGTTTTGCTTAACGTTTCTGGAGTGATTCTCTGGAGTCCAGGCTAAGAATTTTTCACACTAAAATGTAATTTGGGCTGAAAAGGACTTTTAAAAATGAGGTTGTATTTATTACAGAGCTCTTTTTAGTAGAAAAAGTTACAATTCATTCACAGGATGCCTGGGTGGGCTCGGTGGGTTAAGTGCCTGACTCTTGATTTTGGTTCAGGTCATGATCTCAGGGTCATGAGAATGAGCCCTGTGTCGGGCCCGGCACAAAGCGTGGAGCCTGCTTGGAATTCTCTCTCTCCCTCTCTCTCTCTGCCTCTACCCCACTCATGCTGTCTCTTGTGTTCTCTCTTTCAAAATAAATGAATAAACTTAAAAAAAAGTTACAATTCAGTATCAACTTGAGTAGAAGAGGAAGTCACAAGACTTCAAGAATGTAAACTGGTATGGTCTCACCAGACAAGTGTCTGTAAGGATTTAGAAAACGAGTTTTTCCCTTGAAACATAACCAAGTAAAATTCTACTTTACTTCTTTATATTTTGCTATTTAAATATCTATCTCACCCATTTGTAACCTTTTCTGACACTAATTACTTGTATGAAAAACTAATCTAAGTTGGCTCTGCATAAACTTCAGACCTTCTAAAAGAACAGATGTGAACACTAATAAGAAACATATCTACAATGTTTTAAGAGACATTAAGAGAAAGGTTACCAGAGCTATTTCAAGAGTTAAAAAAAAAAAAAAAAGTGTTCAATAACTGACTATAATTTGACAGAAGTGAGAGATTTCTCATCAACCACTTGTTCTGTTGTTTGAGTACTAAGGCTTTGTTTTCCAATGCTGTATTCAACTGTACTAAGCCTATGCCAAGTGGATTTGTGAGTAGTGAAAAACGTGGGGTCCAGCCGAAGCTGCATTATAATACAAACCTGTTTGCAACCCCATGCATCAGACAAGATGATTTCCTAAGAATTGAGAATTAAGGGGCCAATCACCCAAAGTCCTAAATATTTGAACATGCAAAAGATCATCACATTGTCTTCTTTTTTCTTTTGGCAAGAATACATACATGCACTATAGAGTACCTACTGCCCACGATATTTTGGATGCCATAAAAATTTTTCCTACTTTGTGGATTTTTACAGATATGCTTATCTTGGTGAGTTTTTTCAACACGTGGTTCCAACACTAATATTGTAGTTGAGGTGTAGCCAATACTGCAGCCCCCTTGTTTTTACAAGATCCACATTTTAATTTGTATATTCCAGAATTGCCACACAGTTAGTTGAACAATTTTATCAGTCAGATCTATGCTCATGAAACCTAGCATTTATCAGTTATAGGTGAAAATGCATCTCAAATGAAATGCTCTTACTTTAAGATTTATCAAGTTTAAATATTGTCTACCTTGAACAGACATGTTACTTTCACCTACATTTGAAATGTCAAAATTTCTAGTTACACAAGTTAACATGAGTGATAACCTTAAATTGTTACAAAAAGTGACAACTTATGAACAGCCACTTTACAAAAAAAAAAAAAAAAAAAAAAAAAAAAAAAAAAAAAAAAAAAATCAAACCACACAGAGATCGTCTTTTACATATAATGCATCTTTTCATCATCAGGTTAATCTAGTCAATGTCCACAGTTAAGGAAAAAAAAAACCCAAAAGAGTAAACTTAGGTGCAGCAGGTGTGTGCACCTTTCTATTCCTTTTCTTTCTAACATCTGTGTGGATTGGTTGAGCATAAGCAGTTCTTAAGGCCTGTTGATAATCTGGCCCTGGTTATTTGCCAATTAACAATTTGAATCTAGGCTGCAAACAGTTACAGTAATGGGCGTTAAGATTTACAACATCATAGATAAAGTTCTAGTACCCGTTAGTGAAAAATCTTAAATTCTACAACTGAAACCTTAAGGGAAATCAGACCAATATATACATACAACTTGAATAAATGGGCACAGTCTATCATGGTGTTCATCCCATGCAAGTCTGAAGTACTGTTAAGTGTCCTCCTTTAAAAACTTGGGGTGATGGTGCATGCAGTATGCAGTCAAGGTGAATTGCAAGTCTGAGTTTTTCAGAGGGCTTTCTGCTGATGCCGATGTTGTGCATGATGAAGTGTAGAGTCAGCCTGCTGGAGTCCTCTATCCTTCTTAATGCCTTGTCCAGCTTGGGGGAAAAGTCCTTTCCATAGAGAAGCAGTGTGCAAGTTTGCAGTTTGTAAGGAATATTCTGAATCAGTTTCCTCTCCTCCAAAGAGAGAGAGCTGCTTGGAGAAATGCAAGTCCTTGAACTGCGGGCGTGCCTGTATGTGTGGGCTCCTGGTTGAACTAAATATAAATAACTCCGTACATACCAGTAGGGGGCACTAATTTCAAGGTTATTTTCCAGCATTACATGGCCTTTGGCAACAAAAGCATTCACCAACAAGGTTTTCACTTGAATGAACTAGCTCACCTCAGGAAAAAGGAATCTAACTGCATGTAAAAATTTGTCAGCAGATGTAAGCACATTCTAAAATGCATAAAATACTTACCTCGTCTTCCCAAATATGGTTTAGTGTAGTCCCAACTGTCATTGTCATTCCTAATAACATTTAGACGAGTTGGCTGTTAAGATTAAAAAGAAAGTAAGCTCAAATTGTATATCCAAAGCATAAATATTTCTTTGGCGAAGTGTTGAAAAAATATTTACCCTTGCATATTCGATTTTTAGTGTGCAACATCCAGCATATATATCTGCTCCATTGAGTGCTGCTTTAGCTTTCTGGGCACAAAGGACTGATTCAAACATAAGCTCTATTAAGGAAATTTGGTTTAACGTATCCAATATTTTATCATTATTCGCTGCCTCAGAAAAGGACTGAAAATAATCAGAACTCTCACTTCTAGAAATGTTTTACCAATAAAATTTCTAGATGAATTTTAGGAGTACTTATTTTCAAAATCAAGGGTGCCAAAGAAAACATAATAAACCAAACTACATTAATCCTTCCAAGTCAACTGAAGTACATCATAAATTGAAAGGAAGAGGGAAAATGGAGCATGGTTACATTCCCAGGCAAAGGACAGTTTGCTATCTCGAAACAGGAAATATTTTACTCTTAAAAGTAGGAAAAACAGGGGTGCCTGGGTGGCTCAGTCGGTTGAGCGTTCAACTTCGGCTCAGGTCATGATCTCACAGCTCGTGAGTTTGAGCCCCGCGTTGGGCTCTGTGCTGTCGGCTCAGAGCCTGGAGCCTGTTTCAGATTCCGTATCTCCCCCTCTCTCTCTCTCTCTGCCCCTCCCCCATTCACACTCTGTCTCTCTCAAAAATAAACATTTAAAAAAAAAAAAAGTAGGAAAAACATTACAACAAAACCAGTTATATAAAACAAATATTTGATTATATTTCTGAGAAGACAGGGTTTTATAACCATTAAACTATCTTCACTTTGTTGGTTTTCAAAAATTACTTGAGTCTATATATTGTTTAAAAAAAAAAAAAACAAAAAAAAACCCCACCAACGTGGTTTTTTAAAAAAAGGGCAAAAATACCTTGCTAGAAGTAAGCACCATTAAGAATTTGCTGTATATCCCTACCTTTTTCTATGCATACACATGTACATATAGGATGTGGGGCGAGGGTAGTTATTATTCTTTTGTTTACATGGGATTATACAGTACATACTATTTTGCTACTTGCTCTTTTTACTCAACATATCACATATCTAACAAAGAAAAGTTCTTATATAAACCTTGACCATTTAAAAGAGTCAATAAAAAAAGGTAAGAATAGTTTTACTGACTCTAAAGTTTTGGTACTTCCAAACCACCTATTTTAAGGAGAGATTCAAAAAAGTCCGTTTAGGATACATTTAAAAAGGTAGAGATGTACATATTATCAAATAATGTTATTTCTTCTCCTATTAAAAAGACAAAGCACACTATGAGATGAAGCACTGGAATGTTTTAGGTAGCAAGTTATTATCTGTGGGCACTGCAGTTTTTAAATCTAAGACAAATAGATTTTGGGGGAGGAACAGAGAATAAATACCACTTGTCCAGATATCATTAAGCAGTTAAAAGTAAGACGTATATTACACAGCATTCATATACATCAATTAAAAAATTTACAATCAAAGGATATTCAACCATTGCTTGTATCCCATTTCTCTTGAATATAACAATACGTTGTACTTTTCCAACAGGGTTGCATACTGTATATAAAACATCCTATAAAGGAAAGAAAACAAGATTTCTTCACATACAAGATTTCTTCACATTTTATACTTGGAAAAACAACAAAGTTACACCCTGCTTTTTTTTTTTTTTTTTTTTTTTTTTTTTTTTTTTTTTTTTTTTTTTTTTTTTTTTTTTTTTTTTTTTTACTAAAAAGACACCTGTCAAGATGTCATTTCGATTCATTACTAATTAAACTTTTAAAAATTGTTATCCTTCTAAAGTTACTTCCTCACCTATACAATATACCCAACATTAGAGAAGTTATAATGAAACATTTCAAAAAGACTCGTACCTATTTTATCTCCTAAATAAACCCTCAATTCTTATTTTAACAGGTACTTAAAATAATATCTGACAATACACAATAAATAAGCCAAAACTATAATCAATTAATGGTTTGTTTTCCAAATGTGACTCTGGAATGTTTAATATTATAATCACTTGAATTATAGTAATAAATATTTATTAAGGGGTAGTAATATATCAACTCAGTATTCATTTTTCAAGGGACAATGACTATAGAGGAAAGACTCAGGAAAGATCATTTATACAATGTTAGATGTCAGCAAACAAGATCCCTAAATTAAGTAAGAGAAAAATTAAAAACCCCCTTAAGAACAATTCTTCAACTGTCAAATTTCTTGAGCACCTACAATTATACAGTGGCACCATTAGGTACTAGGGATACAACAATAAGCAAAGCAGAGTACTTGTACTAGATTAGGAACATTCTTTCTCCCAAAACACATATTAATACTGCTTATTAATAAGTCTAGAAATATTAGAGGTAAATAATATCTAACAAAATTTAAATAGTATCTTATGCTTTGTTTTTAGTTTATGTCCCAGTATCGTATAGAAATCATTTTTTCTTTCCCAGAGAGCACAAGCAAGGGAGGGGCAGAGAGAGGGGACAGAGGATCTGTAGTGGTCTCTGCAAGCCTGATGTGGGGCTTGAACTCACGAACTGCAAGATCATGACCTGGGCCTAAGTAAGATGCTCAAAGGAGCCACCCAGGTGCCCTTTACTAGAAATCATTGTTTTTATTTTTACTTTTTATTTTCTTTTAATGTTTATTTATTTTTGAAAGACAGAGAGACAGAGTGCAAGTGGGGGAGGAACAGAGAGAGAGGGAGACACAGAATCTGAAGCAGGCTCCAAGCTCTGAGCTGTCAGCAGGGAGCCCGATATGGGGCTCAAACTCAGGAACTGTAAGATCATGACCTGAGCCGAAGTCAAACACTTAAATGACTGAGCCACACAGGCGCCACGAATCATTCTAATTGAAGCTTCCCTCACTGTGATATTCTATTCGTCACAAAAATAAAGTGTCCTTGTCACTAGCTTATTATGAAACATCATGTGATTATGAAGTAGAAAATTTAACTGGTTCAGGACATGAATCCTTTGTAAAAATTCTGTTAATACCACTTTTTAAAAGAGTTAAACAGTGAATTTTAAGTAAATCAGACAGGTTTTTAATAAATTATCTCAAAACCACTTATAATAATATATGCATTTTATTATATACTATGGGATTCTGTCCTTACCTAGTAGACACTCTTAACACACATACTGGCACATGAGTGAAACAAATTTCTTGGATCACTTCTAACAAGTCTAATTCCTTACCAGAAACAGAGTTAACTCTGATGCTAAATAATAAAAATTTTTAAATGTGCTTATTTAATTATGACCATTGCACTTCTGACCTTTTTACCTTTGGTGCTTGCCATTTCTTTGTTCATTAAACATGACAGTCAAAATTAAGATTCATTTTAAAAATTCTTTAAAAAAACACTGTTTTTATTTTTAAATACCTAGATGGCAGTGAAGAAAACTATAGGTTAGTCACTCTGAAGGCAAATTTCAAAGTCACTGTTAATTTAGTTTATCATACTAAAATACATACCACTGTAATTGGATAAAGAGGATTCTGAATTGATAGCAGAAGAACTTTGTTGCCTCCTGATGGATCATCGGTATTTCCTGGCCGAGTGATCCTTTTGCTCGTAGAATAGTTGAAAAAAGCCTGTTGACCAGCAATGTACACAGGTTCATCCGCAGCAAAGGTCACACATTCTTTGGCACTATCTATGTTTTCAAATTCCACTAGAGCCTGCCGTTTAAATGGCATCATCATAACATAGCTGAAAGGCAGATTGGGAAGGAATACCGAAAGAATAAATTCAGTTAACATTTATTCTCAATCAAGGAAAGGCAGACTCTAATAAAAATGTGTCAAATCATACAGATTAGTATTCTTCACTACCTATATTCAATGTTAGTCAATTCTTTTTTTTTTTTTAAGTTTATTTATTCGGTGGGGGGGTGCAGAGAGAGAGAGGAGGACAAAGGATCCAAAGCGTGCTGTCAGCACAGAGCCTGATGTGGGGCTCCAACTCACAAACCATGAGATCACAACCTGAGCCAAAGTCAGACAATCAACCGACTAAGCCACCCAGGCACCCCTAATGTTAGTTAATTCTTATAAACTGTGGTACACCAGGCAGATGGTTCACATGTGAAAGCTTATCCTCCTGTGACAGAAAGGTTTTCCATCTTTTGCCTTCCTCAAGCACAATTCTGTTACCAGTTACCAATGACGCCTCCCTGTTTATTCTTCAGGCTGCCACTCCCAAGCAATACTAGAAAATCTCTAGATACAGAAACCAGCGGAGATAAAACTGAACAGAAAGTTAGCAGATGGGACCTTTAACAACAGAAACTACTACCTCTACTGTGTTTTCCAAATAAACAAGTGCCCACACTAATAATAACCAAGGACTATACAATTTCGCTTATCTTACTAAAAACAAGAGAATTAAAATATACATAGAAACAACTGCAAACCAACCAAATTTCACACAAATAATCTCTTCCAAAATATTTTTTAAATATTAAAGAATCCATGAAAAGATATTCATCAGATGATGATAATCATGGTTGTCTGTGAACAAAGAGGGTGAAGTTATTTACATTTCATTGTATACTCTTGGGGAGGAACATATTTTAACACGTGAAATGAAAAATAAAGCAATGAAGAGAGGGAGGGAAGAAAGAAATCAAAGAACATGGATCACAGCAGGGGAAATATTACGTCCTCTATTCATAAGAACAAGCACCTTAAAAAAGGTTTTAAAATACAATTAGCACGGGTTTTATAATAGAAGGCTGCAGAAAGAACATCAGGTCAGGTACTCAGTGACAGCACTATTTCTGAATCAGGCATCTAGACCTACCGCTACCCTTTAGAAAGCAGCAAATGATTTACTAGTAAGAAACAGACCACTTTGTAGCCTGGCATAGTATGTAGTTTCTTATGAATTTCACCTTTTCTCATTTATAAAATGTGAAAGACTATTGTCAAGATTATAGTTACTGAATACAAACTGCTTGCCTCACCTCATTCATCTTCATATTCTCAGAATCTAGAAACAGAGCTGACACGTAACAGGCATTCAATCAATATCTGTTGGTCTATGAGGCTTGTTAGCTCTCCCCACCCACATTGTTCAAACTTAAAGAAGCTATTGAAACAGTAAGATAAAGAATTATCAATTATGAATATAAAATATAAATTCCAGGAAAGAAATATTATTTTTAGAAACTTCTTGATGAAGTTCTGAAGTCGTGCATACAAAAAAACCAGAAAACCCTGGAATCAGGACTATGCTAAAGAAATTGAAGAAGGAGGCGCTTGGGCGACTCAGTTGGTTCAGTGTCCAACTTCGGCTCAGGTCATGATCTCGCGTTTGCGGGTTTGAGCCCCGCATGAGGCCCTGTGCAGACAGCTCAGAGCCTGGAGCCTGCAGCCTGCTCTGGCTTCTGTGTCTCCCTCTCTCTCTGCCCCTCCCCTGCTGGTGCTCTGTCTCTCTCTCAAAAATAAGTAAACATTAAAAAATCTAAAAAAAAAAGAACAAAAGAAATTAAAGAATAAACATTCTCCCCCCACAAATATAAGGTGGTTGAATAGCTAAATAGTATTACCAAGTAAGTATGTTAATAATGCCCTTTGATTCTTTGGAACACAGAAAATTATAAAGGCTGAAAAATAAATTTTTTATTGACCTGTCATAGACTTGGTCTTAGTGAAACTGCCTTCTATGGTAACTACAATAAGAAGTGAGCTAGAAGCACAGACTTAGAAGTGAAAAAGTGGCATCACATGAAGATAAAGAAGGGAAAACTAGAATGTTGCAGATGTTTTAGAATGCACCTAAATTATCTGTCATGTAATTTTTAAGAAATCTTGAAAAGCATATGAGGAAGATAGGAGAAGAACAAAGAAAGAAAAAAAAAAAGGGCTAAGGGACATGGTAGGGTCAGTGCTTTCAACTTATAACTCAAAACACATTTACTAATATTTAAACAAAAGTTGGAGGAGGCAAAAGATTTTATTATACAAATTGGGTCCCAAAAGGTTTGTTTTAAAATATTAAACCAATATAGCTAATTATACCTAGCATGCTCTCCTTTAATGGAAGGGGAAAAGGGAAGAAGAGAGAGTACATCTTTTTAAACATTCTTTTGATCCTAACAGATGAATATACTACAGAATAAAGACAACAAATATACAGAATTTTATTAGACTGACACAACCATTCTCAACATCTTATAGTTTCTCCTCACCTTCTTTCCTACGCATCTAGTTTTCAGGTATAAACTTACTCGATGTTGAACTTGGTGATGCACATTTTTATATGAGCAGTTTCTATATAATCTCTATAATCCCACACACACCACTAAAGAAATAAACAAACACAGAAAGGTTCTATAAATGCAACATTTTGAAGCAAAACACCTACTCCTCACCGGAGGCTGTTCAGGGTTCTTTCAGTTTTAACAGCAGCCACCTCTTATTCAAGATCATTTCACACAATTAAAACTCCTAGTGCACATATTTATGCCAATTAAACTTTTAATTTTACACTAATTTGTTCCAATTATTTCACGACTTTTTTATCCACAAAACTACCAATCCTGAGGGCAGAATGATGTACTATGCAAATTAACAGAATTACATTCACATATAAAACACTTTACCATGGACTAAATATCAAAAAGTATACAGGCCACTCAAAAGTGATTCACGTAAAAAAAAAAAAAAAAAAAAAAAAAAAAAAAAAAAAAAAAAAAAAAAAAAAAAAAAGAAGTGATTCAAATAATTCAACAACTTCCACAAATAGTTCTATTTCTTTAAAGCCGAACATTAAGATCTTGTGTCATAATTAACATAAAAATGTCAATATAGTTATGATTGCTCTAAAGTTCCCACCAGTATTTGCTCGTCGACCTGTTTTCTGACAGGACTCCAGTATCTCTTGGCTTTAAAGAAATCACTTTAAAAGCCTAAAATAAAATTACCAAATAAAAAATAAACCAGAAATAACCATCTCTTTCTAATTCCATAGGACAATGCAACCCACGGGGTTAGTCTAGTACCAACGTGCAAATCTAAATAAGGTCTAAGTTTGCTTCAATATATAATGTTCCCGACAAACTTAATTTCCAATATCCTCTTCAAATGACTAAATAGTGATGTAGTCATCTGAATGACATTTCAAGAAACGGGCTTTCCTTTGCCCATGTGGACTGCCAATTTGTACGTGCAAGAATAAACAATACGTAACAGTGGTCTCTAAGGTGCATAAGTTGAGGATAACAGGTTTGCCACGTCACCCACCTCTCTGTAAGATCATCAAAGAAATTAAAAAAGATGCCATGATGGAAGGTGTCACCTAACTCTACTATTCCTTTGAGGCAACGATTCCTTTCTGTTGGACATCTCTGCTCACTCTCTCACCATCTATTTATGCATCCTTTCAATACCCAAAACTCCACATAAATTTCCATAAAATTGAAGCAATCAAGTTATCTCAGCAAATACACTGAAATCTCTCCCCTGTTTATGTATTTTGACTTAGACTGTGTCTCTGATGCCTCTAACCAACGTATTCACCAAGGAAAAAATAAAATAAAATCAACTCTAGACTATCCATACTAATAAGAGAACAACAGCCGGGCACACTCCAAAAATAATTTAGAAAGAATTTTTGAGTGTCTATTTTTGGCAGTACATTCACTTTTCTGATTATATTTTCATTTGAGTCAATATTCTTAAGCATACGCTAACTATGGAAGAGAAAGGAGGAGACTGAGTGAATACAAAACACAAAAAGAAACTAGGATAAAACACTGACTTCTCATGATCTGCAGAAGAACTCCTGGCAGCACACACCTAAGGCAAATAATGCCTACCCTTCATCTACTCACTTTTAGTTGCCAATTAATTCTTAAACATTCCAAAATAAACAACAACAAATCAGTATTTAAGTACCGCTACTTGAAACTCTAAAGATGAAGGGCGTAAACTCATTCAAACATGAAAGCAGTGTTTAACAAGGAGTCATGGACTCATTTGAAAGTCAGATGAAAGATGAAATTACCCATTTTGCATATAGCCTGGCTGGGGAGTGATAGGTGATCATGGTCCACAAAAATACATCTCTGCATCATCCCAGGAAGGAAAAAAATAAGAGGCTTAAAAGGTTCTAAAGAAATACTGTCACAGGCAAACTTAATATATACTATGGTCAAACATCAAAGCTTATATTATAGCAAGCAAGCAAGGCTTGTTTTACTATACTGTTTTCAATCTGCATGAAGTCCCTAGAGTCCTTACCATATTGTCCCAAATTTCTCCAGGGCCTCCACAAGGTCTGCTTCCACCACAGATTCACAGAGTCCTCGAACATGGACAACAGGTGAAACAGAAACTTTATGATGACTTCCACCTGCCTCCTAGCAAAAGAAAATAATTTCTAGTTAAAAATTTTAAAGGTCTAAATTGCATCTATAGTAGATTCAATTCTGCATTAAAAAGAAAACATCAAAAAAAATTCCAAACCAAACTGCATTCACAAGTTAGCAAAAAAATCACCAATTGTTAGGCAGGAAAATTTAGATTTCTTAGAAGAGGGTATTTTCTCTTAATAAGAAGTACAACATAGGGGTGCCTAGATAGCTCAGGGCTAGCTCTTGGTTTCAGCTCAGCTTATGATCTCACAGTGTGGGGTTTGAGCCCTGCGTCAGGCTCTGTGCTGAAGATGCACAGCCTGCTTGGGATTCTCTCTGTCCCTCTCTCTCCGCACCTCCCCCATTTTGCACGCACACTCTCTCTCAAAATAAATAAAAAGAAGTACAACATAAATTAATAACTTATTTCAACTGCAATAAAATCTCAGAAAAAATTTCAACAGATGCAGAGTATGCTATGACTGGAATTATATTGTATACTGATAATTTCATTACAAAATATCAAAATCTCAAGTAGTCCAAATGAACAAAAAAAAAATCCCAATTTAAAATGTTTCTTTAATACAAAGATTATAAACTTTATATCATCTTTTGTCCTTGTTTAATTGGTTATCTCGTTCCACACTAACTTAAAGCTACTGTGCTTACTTAAGCAGCACACTTGACAGCTTAAATTTATACAAGGTACCATCTTTGTTGATGAACAAGTAGTGCTCAAAAATGCAAGCCTTGGGGCGCCTGGGTGGCGCAGTCGGTTGAGCGTCCGACTTCAGCCAGGTCACGATCTCGCGGTCCGGGAGTTCGAGCCCCGCGTCGGGCTCTGGGCTGATGGCTCAGAGCCTGGAGCCTGTTTCCGATTCTGTGTCTCCCTCTCTCTCTGCCCCTCCCCTGTTCATGCTCTGTCTCTCTCTGTCCCAGAAATAAATAAACGTTGAAAAAAAA